AATGGAGTAGATAGCTTTCTATCATCATTTCTCCAGGCAAGTCTTCCCTCACTGCTCAGACTGGGTCAGATCCCTCAATCAGCAATCCTATGTCCCTCTCCTTGATCATACTTTTCACAGTTGCCATTTTGTATTTACTTGTTAAATGTCTACTTGTTAGTGTTGTAGTGACACAGCTATGAGAGACACGCGGCTTCTACCCCAGTCATTTATGGATCTATAGTGACAGTAAACAAGGAACCCTGGTGATGCAATGGTTATACGCTGGGCTGCTACCCAACCAAAAGGTTGGCTGTTCAAACCCATCTCACAGTTCCAACGGAGAACCGGAGATCTCTCATAAGGATTAGAGCCTAGAACATCCTATGAGGCAGTTCTATGACATGGGGTCACTATGGGTCAAAAATTAACTTGGCAGCAGCAAACAAGAACACTAGATAATTACAGTGTTGGTGAGTGCTACCATGGCGTCAAGTATAGGGTGCTAAAGGAGGCTCTGCTTCCAAATTAGGAGATAAGGTTGACTCCTCAGCAAAGGTGCCACCTGGGCTGAGTCCTTATGTAAGAATTGTCAAAGCAGATGGAAGAAACCGTATTCTTAGCAGAAGCCCAGAAGATGGATCAGGAAGCTTAACCGAGAGTAGTTGCATTTGGCTGGAATGTAGGATTGATCCAGGGTGAATCAGTGGGTCACCTTTTGGTACCTGAGAAATAAAACCACCTCAAATACATTAGATAAATGTGACAGCGTTTTCCTGGCCTGCTTTCATCTTCTCCCTGTGGCCCATGGACAGAAATCCTCTCTAGGCCAGCATGTTGAATCTCCTATCAGAGCTCAGGCTGTGGGTTATTTTTTAAAGGAGCCTGTCCAGTCATGTTGCTACTTTGTCTAATAAGAGAGGGCAGGAATGGGCCACCCACACATCACATTTTAATTACTTGTAAGTTCTAAAAACAAAGCACATTTCCATCAATTTGAGATTGGTTAACTAAAATTTATAAAATTAAAATATGGCACATACTACAGGATACTCTGAAGCTAAAAGGGTAAATGTGTCTAACAATTTGAAGAGAAAAAAATAGTTTGCAAAGGAATGGACAGTATGAGGGGGCTTCAAAGAGTTCAAGGAAAAATTCAGTTATCTTTTTATTCCATTTTCATGAACTTTTTGAAGTTGCTTTTTAGGTACATCTTTATATAAAAGTACACATAAACTATAATGCATCTAGGAAGTTATATTCCCAAACTGTTAGTCTTGATTTTTCCTAGAGTAAGGTAGAGATCCTGACTCTATTTCTACTTGATAAACTTTCCATGATGTTCACCTTTATTCAGCAATCATGTTTATCCTGAAGTTAATTTTTTTTCAAGTTGACAGGTATTTCCAATTTGTAAAAGGGAAAATTCCTATGCTAAAGCAAGGCAGGCAGGTTTGGATAACTTTTTTTTTTATTATGCATCAAGTCAGTGTGGACAGAGGATGGTACTGGGATATCTGGGAAGAACCTTCCAAAAACACTACCATGAGTGAGCAAGAGCTAGGATTTGTTGATTCTCTTTAAAGTTGGGCCCACCCACTGTATGTCACTTTGAAGGTGCCATTCCTTTCCTCCTTTTTCTGCTTGCTCATCAAGCATTTGCTGAGTTTCACCCTTTCTTTGCTGGGTTCACTGCTGGGTAATTGTAGGGACAGAGAAACAGAGCTAACCTTTAGTCTCTAGGCTCATGCTCATAGGGAGGGACTGAGAGTTAAGTTTAAGTTATAAATAAATAAGTAGAGAAATAATCTGCTTCTACTTATTGAGCACTTGCTACAGCACATACAGCAACTCTCAAGGTAGAACTTGTTTCTCTCTGACAGAGGAGGAAATTGTAAATTTTTGGGTCGAGCCCAGTGGAGGCATGCATTAGTTAGCTATTGCTGTAGCACAAACCATCCGAAAACTTAGTTGCTTAAAACAATTATTTATTATCGCTTCCAACTCTCTTGAGAAGGCAAGCTCTTCTTTCTTCTGGTCTTGGCAGGGCTCACTCATATGCGCAGTTAGCTGTAGGCAGTGTGATTCTTCTCATCTTCACTGGGGAGGTAGGCTGGCTGTCAGCAGGTCCAGGAGGGCCTCAGCTGGGCTCACTGACTCTCTTGTCCCTGTCTCGTATGCACATGTCCCTCCTCCTCCAGCAGGCACTGCCATGGAGCAAGAGGACAAGCCCCACTTGCGCCCCTCCCTCCGCTTGAGCTTCTGTGTCTTCATGCTACTAGCATGCCATTGGCCAAAGCAAGTCACACGGTGACTGGGCTTAGCCTCAGAGTGGCATGGAACTATAAAGTTATAGGGCAAAGCGGGAAGACCAGGAGTAGGGATCATGAATGCACACACGCTAACACAGGACACAGTGATCGTTTATCTAGAAAAGAGAGGAGGGTACAGTAGAACAGTATTGAAATATGAGAGTGATCATTAAGAGGGCAGCTGTCTTTTTGGAACTGGATGCTGACCAACTTGCTACAATCAGTAGAAACCCAACAGATCTTTGTGTGCTGACGACAGACAAGGTTTTATTATTTGTATCTTGGCTTCGTTCTTTGTGGGGGAGCACAGGGCAGTAATCATTCAATAAATGTTTGTAGACTTGAACTGAGTATCTTACTGTGAATGAGGTGTGGACTGAAGCAGTTGATCCTTGGAGCCAATTGTTATAAAGAACAACTTAACATCATCTCTCCCAAAACAAATCCTTGTACTTGGTACAATTTCTCTTTCATTTATTCCACAACTATTTTCTGAGCGCCTCTTGTAAGCCTGGTTCTATGTTGAATGATGAAGAGGACGTGCTAGATGTTCAGAGCATCGGTTCTCAACCTGTGGGTTGCGACCCCTTTGAGGGTCAAATGACCCTTTCACAGGGGTCGCCTGATTCGTAACAGTAGCAAAATTACAGAGATGAAGTAGCAATGAAAATGATTTTATGGTGGGGGGGTCACCATAACACAAGGGACTGTATGAAAGGGTCGCATTAGGAAGGTTGAGAACTGCTGGTTTAGAGACAGTAACCATTTTCTCAGAGAGGAACCATTTTCTCAGAGAGGAACCGTCTCAACTGAGTTTTGGAACGTGCCAGTTTGAGTCACTTTGCAGCTGAATTCTCTGCGAAGTGATGGGACTGCCCTGGAGGCTGTGGATTGTCAAACCTGAATATTTTAGATGTCAAATCTACGGGTGGGCAGACCACAAAGAACACATAGTTCTTTTGTACAATGGAGGAACCTGGCTTGTGTTCTCACCCAAACAGAAACAAACCTCACTTACTCAAAGGCGTCAATCCTGTTCAACTTGTTAAAACCATCCTCACATAAGTAAAGCAGAAAAAAAAATTTTTAATCATTTTATTAGGGGCTCATACAACTCTTATCACAATCCATACATACATCAATTGTGTAAAGCACATTTGTATATTCATTGCCCTCATCATTCTCAAAATATTTCCTCTCCACTTAAGCCCCCATTAGGTCCTCATTTTTCCCCTCCCTCCCTCATGAGCCCTTGATAATTTATAAATTATTTTGTCATATCTTGTCCTATCCGATGTCGCCCTTCAACCACTTTTCGGTTGTCTGTCCCCCAGGGAGGTCACATATAGTTCCTTGTAATCGGTTCCCTCTTTCCAACCCACTCTCCCTCTACCCTCCCAGTATCGCCACTCACACCACTGGTCCTGAAGGGATCCTCCACCCTGGATTCCCTGTGTTTCCATTTCCTATCTGTACCAGTGTACATCCTCTGGTCTAGCCAGACTTGCAAGGTAGAATTCTTGTCATGATAGTGGGAGCGGGGAGGAAACATTTAGGAACTAGAGGAAAGTTGTATTCTTCATCGTTGCTACATCGCTTCCTGGCTGGCTCATCTCCTCCCCAAGACCCCTCTGCAAGGGGATCTCTAGTGGCCTACTAATGGGCTTTGGGTCTCCACTCCGCACTCCCCCCATCATTCAAAACAGCAAAAATTGATGTGAACTGTACTAATTTACAAATGAATTACAAGTTAACAAGATCCTTGATTTTGTTTTACAGAAAGGCCATTTCAAGTGATGAGAACTACACTTCCCAAGGTTTCCCCTTTTGCTTTGGCTGCCAAGAACTTCAGAGCTAAAGACAGGTTTCGTTTCCTAAATCCCCAGGTACATCTCTCTCTCCTTTTAATCTGGCTTCTTTCTGCCACATCCTCACTGTCCACCATGTGTAGCTGTTGAGCACTTGAACTATAAACCACTGCTACGGAGTCAAATCTGTCTTAGAAGAAGGACTTTGTCTCACGTACTTGGGACGTTATTGAGAGAGACCAGTCCCTGGAGGACATGCTTAATAAAGTAGAGGGGCAGTGAAAAAGAGGAAGACGTCCCACAAGATGACTGGCCACAATTGTGAGGATGGTGCCGGCTGGGCAGAGGGTCACAATGAGTTGGAACGGACTCTATGACACCTGACATCATGGAGCCAATTCCAACTGAGTAGAACGTCTCCATAGAATTTTCGAGACCATTACCATTTACAGGAGTAGACAGCCTCCTCTTCCTCCTGCAGAGCAGCTGGTGGGTTCAAAGAGCCACTGTGTTTAGCAGCCCTCTAGATCACCAGAATTCCACGTACTCTGTAGCCAGTCCAAACTGAGATGTGCTGTCAATTGTCATGTAAATAATAGCTTTCACTGTTGAGATCTATTGGGTTAAGTGTAATTAACTGCTAAAATCTTCCAGGTCACACACAAAACCCTTTGGTACAGTTTGCTTACAATTGTCTCTTCTCTGCAGTTTAGTGTTCTTCTGACTCTCTCTAGTCTCTCGCCAAATCTGTTCTAGGGTTTGCTTATGCTAACAAGTTGGAAATGATTGATAACTTGTTCACCCTTCTTCTTGAGGTATTTCAACAGGAACAGTCCCTGCACAGGAAGGAATGAATCCCTGATGGTGAAACTTCAGGCCTCAGTGACAGTGAGTGAGAAGTTGACTGGTTTTAAGTGTATCTCTCTCTCTCTCTCTCTCACACACACACACACACACACAATTGACTACATTCAGGATGAGGCTAAAAGTAGGGAAGGTGATGGGTTAGACAGCACATCCCAAGCTGGGTTTTGGCCACAAAGGGCTGTCATCTATTGCAGGCCCTTAGGGGGTTTGTTAAGTAATAAAAGAGCCTAGTTTGATGTCACCAGAAGTTAGGTACCTAGACAGCCTCTGTAGTAACTGCAATGAATTGGAAGAGCGAGCCTCAGTTTAGACATCAGAAGACCATGCCTGCCATTCACAACTGACTCACTGGCTCCACTCTGGGCAAGTCCTTCACTCCTCGGGCTTGAGCTTCTCCGTCTGAAGAATGGAAAGGAGAAAGGAGTGCTCCATCAGAGGAGGCTAGGAGATGTGAAGGGGCTGAGAACTAGGAGCTGCGCTGCAAACTACAAATGGAAGGGGCCGGCATAGGTGTCTTCAAATGGAAACCGGAGTCGAGCAGGCATGAAGTGGTGGAGGGGAGAGAGCTGTGGGTGGGCCTCAGGGCCAGCTGCCCTTCAGTCTAGAACAGCAGTCCTCCTTTGTCTTTGCAGGCTCCACCCGCACTCCTAAGGCTCATGCTTGCACAAGACAAATGGTAGCATGAGACATGAACAAGCGGGACAACATGAAGACTTTGGTGCAGGAGCCCCCCCTTGACTACTCCTTCAAAAGCATCCATGTCATTCCAGGTCAGCCCACAGCACACGGCACGGCACGCCACGCCACTCACTCACTGCGGAGAAGCTGCAGTCCAACATTTAAAAGCCTCAAGGGAGTCCTCCCCTGTGCTTGTAGACTTTGGGAGGCGGGCAGGGGAGTTCTAACCTTTTCTGAAATAGGAAAGGAGTCCTGTTGAACTCTCCTTCAGGGGCGTTCTGGGTGATCTTTAACGGGAGCCAGATTACCGCAAGAAAGTCAGGTGGGAGTAAATCACGAGGGTCTTAGTCTGTTTTCACCTTGAGAGAAGAAAACATCTGGGGCTGTGGAGCCCCAGCCAGCAGACAGAACCCTGTCTGCTTGGGGGACACTAGGCAAGTTCTAAAACATGTTTCCAGTTTAAATATTTATTGAAACTGTTCTTATAGTTATTCTAACATATTCAGATTTAGTCCATTATCACCCATTTACTACAGGCCCCCACACTACCATACTCATTCCTATTTTACCCTTCAGCGGCTTTGGAAATGGGCAGCTGGTCTGTTGAGGCGGTAACAGGAGGCTGTCAGCAAAATCTCTCAAGGAGTCACCAGTTCCTCCCAGGGAGCTTATGTGGGACCTGGCTCTGCTTACCTGGCCTCTTCCTATATACACGTTCATTACATGTGTAGTATGCGTGCATGTGCACAACTTGCTGCATGAAAGGTCAATGAACTAAAGAAGTCTGTTGGGCACTAGAGTGCACTCAAGTTCCCCGGAGCATTGAGAGCATTCATTTCAAGCCGGTGTTTGAAGACTGGACAGAGACTGGGGGCATTTGGCACACTGGTAACTACCTGCTGATCCAATCAATAGGTGGATGGCTTCAGATTTGAGAGTCAAAAAGTATTGCTCCTAAGGCTCTAGTTCATGCTTGTATAGGTTTATTCCAGACAAAACCTATTTATTTATTTTCAAGCAAAACCTATTTGAACATGTCTTTGCAATCAGTGGATGGCTGCAGACAAGTTCAGTAATACATTTGTCTCATTAAGGTGCCTTTGGGGAAAAAAAGGCCCGATTAAAATAGTGGCTTTTGAGGAGATGTGCTAACCCAGTTAAATTCAAGGCAGAGGTCAGCTTCAAAGGCTGTGGTGTCATCTTGATAGATTTTCTCAGAAGACACAGGAAAATTATGGGGGTTATTCTGAAGTTTCCAGAAAACGGAATTGGTAAGAAAAAGACAAAAAAATAAATAAATAAAAAGGAGAGACTGTGAAAGGTGCTGCAAGGCCTTCCTTCCCCCCACAATGCACTTATCCACTCCTCCAGGGTGTCCCAGGAGGGAGCTTCATTGGGAAACCATGTAGCCAACAGCCCTCTCTTGCCCCTTCAGACTTTGCTGTTCCCCCAAACCCAAAGACCATTGAAAAGGAATGTGATGAGGACCTCTGGGACGCCCAAACGGCAGTTTGCACGTGGTGTAAAACAGAGCACACCACTGTTCAGAGGCGGCTCGGAAATGGAAACACTACATGCAGAAGTGAATGTTTTGAGAAACAGTAGCTTCACATTTTGATATTTTTCATTTAATAACGGTTTCTGGTTTGGTAGAAATGCCTTTTGACTTAGCGTAGTAGTACGGTGTGAAGGGAATTCCCCAGCGCACTCACATACTGGCCCCATCCCTAGGGCTAAGGGTGATCCAAGGAAGTTCTTCTCCTTCAGACTGACTTCTGCCCTTTGGAAGACTGACTGGCACAGCAGCCAGTCAGGGAAGTGAAGGCAGGACCACGTTCCTTGGGGATTCGCTGCGTAGGGCGGTTTCCAGAGTCCTCAGTACCCTGGGAGCCTTGGCGGGGGAGTAGGAAGGTATGGCAGTCTGCCTCCTCGGCCTAACAGCAGCTCCAGGTGGCCTCAAGTTTTAGGTAAACTCCCCATCAGGGGTGCCCTATGAGCTTGGGGTCAGGTCCAGCTGGGTGGCATTCTCCAGGCGGTTGCCTTATCGAACTGGGTCCTCATCTACATACGCACTTGTTTCCTGTCTGCTTTTTATGATCACAATGTTTATTCATCTCGGGTTTCTCAGGAGTGTGGGAAACCAAGGGCAGGATGAGGAATTTATTCATGAACTGGGGTGCTGTGCTCCAGGGGACAATAGCTGCCTTCGACCACCACCCCTAACTTTGGGCCCCACAGCGAGTCGGCTCGCTCCAGCTCTCAGAGCCCTCTGGTGGCTGCTGCCTGACCTACTGCCAAGGAGAAGATGTTAACCTTAGAGGGGCCCAGTGAGAGCTGGGGGCAGGTGAAGACATGCTGGCAAGGTTTGGCAAATACTCTTCTTGGGAGGCAACTGTAGGCTAGAAATCAAAGGCTTGGGAGCAGTGGTAATGGTGGAGGAGGAGGCAGGAAGGGGGAGAATCGCATTTCTAACCGTCATGGACTGAGCTTGGACAATGTTCATCCTCTCAGGGCCCCATTTAAAACTCACTGGCATCGCATCGATCCTGACTTGTAGGACCTCACTTGCTAGGGGAAGGGGGCTGTGTCACAAAGACGGGTTTTAGCATCTGTTCTCCCACCACTTCCTTACTCCTTGGGCACTTTCTGGCTTTTGTTCTGGTGTGCTTGCCACCCCATTGACAGAGCTCGCACGATCACCAGGGTCTTACACAGTTATTTTCAGCCCTTGTCTTTCTACAACATACTCTCCTATACTATCAACCCCTCAAGCATTTTCAACTCTTCTCTCCTGGTTCTTCCTCTGTCCCTTCTCAGACTGTTTTTTATCTTTCAGGGATTCCTCTTCCTCCCTGACTCTTCTCGCTTCCCAGGGAATCTCATACTTTGTGCTAATAATTCTTAGTCTCCCAAGTTTCAGACAAACATATCCAACTGGCTCCTTGGCCTCTCCATCTGCGTGTTACTATGGGAACCTCAGGTGCCCTAAAGCTAAGGCCAAACCCTTCTCAAATCTTGTTCTTTCATAACTGATCAGTTCCCCACCAAAATAACCACTTGGCACCGCCCCCGAATACTTACTACCTGATGGCCAGCCACCCAAGTCCTGCAGATTATCCTTTATTAGCTCCCCAGGCCATCACTCCTCATCTTGTCAGGTCCCTTTCACCTCTTTCCTGGATGAAACACCCACACGGTCCGCAGTCTCACTCGCCAGAGGCTCCACAGTAGAAGTGCAGTATAGCTACAGGGCCGCCGAGAGCCAAACTTTGATTTTTCTGAAAGGAAAATTTTGAATCCTCCCATTTTCCCGGCGTTGCCTTGTGCACTGTAGGCACACGGACATCATGCTCTCTCAAAGCTCTATAGGCCTCTGCTTATGTTGCTCTGAAGCTGTTTACCCTTCTTTGCCTCATACTCTGAGCTCCAGCTCAGGCCTCCCCTTCCCTGGAAAATACCCAAGCTCCTCTGCTGCATCAGGAGCCCCTCTTCTGTGCCCCCAGGACAGTCACGGGCATGCGTCCCATGACCTCTTCCTCCTTGCCCAAGAGCGCGCATGCAGGGCTCAAACTCTGTATATGGGGTCTGGCACAGTGTCACTTTGTTCACCACCATGTATCCGGAATCTGGCCTGGCGCAGGGGCTCAACACGAATGAAAGGCGGGATCGTGCCCGTTTTACTTAGCAGTGAATGGTCTAGGCACTTGGAAAAACCCCACTCACTGCCACAGAGCCGACACGGACTCCTAGCAAGCCCAGAAGGCAGGGCAGAACTGCCGGGAGTCCCTGAGGCTGCAACCCTTGATGGGAGTAGAAAGCCCCACCTTTCTCCCCTGGAGCAACTGGTGGTTTCAAACTGCTGGCCTCAGAGTTAGCAGCTCTGTGTGTAACCACTACATCGCCAGGGCTCCTTCTCAGAAGCTCTAGCAGTAGACAATACTACATTTTGCATGATTTTTAAAAAAAATTGTAATCCTTTTAATTGGGAGCTCTTAGATATCCAAACATGCCATAGTTCTGTCACCTCAAGCAGTATTATACAATTGCTACCAATCTACTTCAAAACATTTTCTTTCTTCTTGAACACCTTGATATCGGCTCCTCTTTATCCCCTCCCCCCCCCACCCTTTATCATTTTGGCTCAAGCCCAGTGACTCTGGTCTCATTTCCTCATCTGTAAAATGGGAATAGCTTTTCCCTGTGTCCACATGGGGTAATATCCAAAAGCTCCTGGCAGAGGACCAGGAGTTTGGGATGGGAAACCTTAGGTCCTCAATCCAAACTTACTAAGACTAGCCAAGGAACACAATCTTTAGCTAACACAGCTAGTCACACAAAGCTCCAGCTTTTGTGATGGGCTCCCAGCCCTTCTAGCTACAGCTCTGCCCCTCGCCACCATTCCACCCCCACAAAGATGTACCCAAGTCTCACTCTGTGCCCGCAGATCTGGTGAGTGAGGAGCCGAGGCCAGGGCTCCGACCCCTGAGGCACTCTCAGTCGGGGAAGTCGCTGACTCAGTCCCTGTGGCTGAACAACAATGTCCTCAATGACCTGAAAGACTTTAGCCAGGTGACCTCACAGCTGCTGGAGCACCCAGAGAACCTGGCCTGGATTGACCTGTCCTTCAATGACCTGACTTCCATCGATCCTGTGAGTTCACAGCCCTGTAGTCCAGTCAGTGCACCTAGTATGACCTTGATCAATGTGTCCCCAAGGAAAGGAGCCAGGATGTGTCAGACCCCACATCCCAAGCTCACGGATGTGGGGTCTGACAGATTAGGACCAAATCAAGGGTTTGCCTCTTACTGGCTGGATGACCTCACCTCCCAAAACCTTAGGAGGTAATAAACCAGGATCATAAAGGGTTTTTGTTTTTCATCACAAAGGTTTTTTTGAGAATTAAATGAGACATGTAAAACCTCGGTTGACACATAGAGGAGGCCGAAGTTAACTGGTAGTTCTCATGTTCAGCACCTGTTTTATAGAGTTTGGCTGGGGAAGAGACAGGTGGTAAGTGTGCAGTACTTTGTATGAAATCAGATTCAAGTTTTAAGAAATGACAGAAATGGCCCCTTATCCAGCATCCCTGGTACGGCACAAAGGGAGTTGGAGCATGACTTGGGAGCTGTTTCAAGCATGTGCCTCACGGTGCTCTGTATTTCTGTCCCTCAGCTGTGACATAGTCTTAGATTAAAGCTGGAAAGGTTTTCCATGAAGGGACCAAGGGGCAGAGGAAGCCCAAGGAAAGGCAAGGACTGACCCTGTCCCCGGGAGTCTGTGCCAGGCCCGCATTTCAGCTGTTTCCGGCTGATGTCCCCGTACCCATTACATTTGGCTAAAAGATAATGGAAAGTTAAAAGCCGCCCAGTATGGCTATGAGACAGTGATGGGTGAGTTGCTCCCCAAACCCTCCCTTCTTTTGAGTTCTGATTCAGGGCCTTTCCACTATGTCTTTCGGTTTCCTTCCCCGACAGATTCTGACAACTTTCTTCAACCTGAGCGTCCTCTATCTCCATGGCAACAGCATCCATCGCCTTCGAGAGGTAGATAAGCTGGCTCTCCTCCCTAGGCTCAGAAGCCTGACACTCCACGGGAATCCCATGGAGGAGGAGAAGGGGTATAGGTAAGTGCTCTGGCCCAAGAGTTGGGCCAGAACCCCCAAATCATTCTGCCACATTGGGGGGATCGGGGTGGGGTGGGGGTGGTGACAGACTGTTAAGCATTTCTTGCTCTCAGTCAAGGTAAACCCTATCTCCACCAACCTATACTCACATTCCTCCCTCCCTTACATTTAGGAGAAATAGCAGCAACTGGTGGGCAGGGAAGGGAGCATTGGTGGGGGAGGGGGGTTAGCCCCCAGCCCAAGTCTTCCCTACAGGTACTACGTGCTGTGCACCTTGCCCCGCATCACCACGTTTGACTTCAGTGGGGTGACCAAAGCAGACCGCACCACAGCCGAAGTCTGGAAACGCATGAACATCAAGCCCAAGAAGGTCCGCATCAAGCACAATGCGCTCTGAGTTCCCGGGATCCTGGCAGTCCTGAAGGCTTTAAGTTGGTCTGCTTGGTTTGATAATAAACAATTTTACCTGTTCAGCAGATGAAAAGCCACTTGTACCTTGAGATATCTCCCTACTCCAGCTGCTGCCAGGAGCTCTGGGCTTGCTTCAGAGATAAGGATGCAAAAGACTTGGATTTGCTGCAAGGCCTCAGGAAACTTAACTACCCTCTCTGAGCCGCTTTGAACCCAACTCAGCTATTCTGGGGTTAGAGTGATCAGTAGTTCCCCAACTGATGAGAGAGTAGTATGGTTTCAGTGAGATGCCGGCGGCCTCTAGGGCAGGTGGCCAGGGGTCGGGCTGTGTGTGCTCCTCAGATCAGATGAGGTCCACTGCTGTATTTTCTATCCTGGGACTCCACTTTGATTCAAACCAACCAACCAGAAAAAGGTTTCTTCTGCTTACAGCATCTGTTTGCTGCCTCCAGATCAGGAGCTCCAAAGGGAACTGGTGCGGCCCCCTGCCTGCCCCTGCTCTCGCTGAGCCAGAGCAGCTCCAGTTTGGGCTGGGTCCCCATCACTGGAGGAACACACACTCCATCTCTTTATCACCCAATTTGAAGTTGACTAAGGCCATGTCTCACCTGGGAACCTTGAACCCTTAGCTCCTGGATTCATCCTTAATGCCCTGAGAGGCTACCCTAACCCCGACCTCACAGTCCTCAGCCTGGAATAGCCAGAATTTAATAGTGGGGTGGTTGGGTGGAACAGAGGGGCTGGAATCAGCACACTGATGAATACACATCCTTTTATCGAGGGTGACAAATCAAAACAAAAAGAAAAAAGACCGAACATGTAAAAACCCAGGATGCCAGAAATACAAACCCAATTCATTCAAACCCAAGCTTGTCCAGACCCTGGTCACAAACCCTAGCGAGGTGTAGCTAGCTGTGCACCAAGTCAGGGAGAGGGGACAGGATTGAATCTGAGGTCCAAAGGGATGGGAGAGGTCCCCAGGGCCCCCTGGTGACGACCCCCCGAGGTATATCCACCTCTTCAGCAAGGGTGAAGACTGGCTAGGCCCCATCCTTTTAGGAACCCACCCCACCCGTAGCTAGGGCTTTCAAGGCCAGGTTCAAGCAGTTCTCTCCTCCCTTGCTCTAGCCTCACGTGTTCAGGCCTCTAGCCTCTCCTCCATGCTCTTCTCCGTGATTAGTAGCAGGTTAGGGTTCTGTATGCGCTGCAGTGAGGTGGGGGGCCAGGGGAGGAGGGATGGAGACGAGGTGAAGAGAGAAGACAAAGAGATGTCCAAGGACCCCCTCTCTTCATGGGATACCAAACTGTACAACAAGCTCCTCTTTTGCATCCACACGAATCTGAGAAAGTGCACTGTAGGCGTAAGCAGCTATCCTGGAGACCTGAGAGAGAGAGAGTCCAGGAGGGGGGAGGCCAGGGGCAAGAGCAGCAGGGAAGGGAACACAGGGAGGAACAGAAGGGTCAGAGGGAGCACAGAGAAAGAGTGAGTTGACAGTGACCAGGCACCCACAAGGCCCCAGGCTCCCTAACCCCACTCCCACCACCCAGAAGGGGCGAGAGGGAAGGAGCTGGGCTGAGGGGTGGCTCACCTGCTGCAAGTCGGAGAAAGGGATGGGCTCGCTGGCCAGCACTTGGTGGGGCTGGCTGGTGAGAGATGGTAGCGGTGGCAGCTTCTTCCAATGGGTCAGGCTGCTACTGAGCACAGCCAGGCGGGTGCTGGCCAAGAGGACAAGGGATGGGAGGGGCAGTCAGGTCAGGCTGCCCAGCCCAGGCCAGCCTGACTCCCCATATCCAGCCAGAGAAGCAAGGTCACGCCAGCTCATCTCAAATCCACTGACCCCACCTCCCTGGGCTTCAGCAGCCTAAGAGTGTGACAGGGCCAACTGACATATGTAGCTATGGAGGCTCTAAGCAAGTGTGGGCAGTCTCCTGGGCTGCACCCAAATGAACACTGGGCGAGTCCAAGGTCCAAAGCAAGAGCAGGGTTGGAGAGGGGAGGAGCGCTCAGAGCCCGAGGGGCCCCCACAGGCCAGGCGCTCACCTGTACTGCCTTGCCCGGTCCATGTACTCATGCTGCTCCATGCCCTGGGAGTCCGCAGCAGACACGTCGATGATGGTGCTTCGGGGAGACAGAAAACATGACAGGTGCTCCCAGGAGAGACAAACAGGACTCGGTGCCAGGCGCCAGCTCCACAGCTATCTGATACCAATGTCCCCACATGCCCACTGGAGCCAGGCTGAGTCCAGGGACACAGCTCTCCACTGACCTTGTCCCAGCTCCCATGCTCCAAGCCTGGCTCCCGTGACCCCGGCCTTGAAGATGGAGGCGCTCGGCCCACCTGGGCCTGTGTGGCTCACCTGGCTGTCTTGGCGAGGATGGAAGAGAGCAGGGCCTGCTCGTCTGTGCGTGCGGAAGGCAGGCTGTGGTAGTTGGGCTCGGCTCCATTGAGGGCTTTGGTGGGAGGACTGCTAGGGTCCAGCAGCAGCTTCCGTTCCTCTCGGTCCTAGGAGAGAGGTCATGGGGGAGAGGTTTGGCCCCTGGACACTCAATCCAATCTGAGGCTCCCTTCTCAGCTCAGCTCCAACCTTTAAGCACCAATGAGATTTTTACTAGGAATACCACAGATGTACAACTTTGTGGAATATAAATGACTTAGTTCCTGCCTATCCTTGAGAACTACACTGAGCTGGCCCTCTAGGATGAACCAGAGTAGGACCAGGAGGTCTCTGAGATCCTGAAAAGATGGACTGGGGTGGGAGCGGGGGCCCATGTGGCCTGCATGAAACGGCCTGGGAGAGTTCTGATGACCACTGAGAGTTCTAAGTAGAACAGGATTTGACAACAGCCCTGGAGCTTCCAAAACAGTCCACCACCCAGGAGTGAGGGGACATTAAAAGCTGGGGCAGAGGAGGTGGGAGATACCAAGATAACAACAGCAGGGTCTAGAGGGGAAAGGGACAAGGCTACCCTGGTCCCCCAGTGCCAGGCCTTCCTAGCAAGGCTGTCTGTGCCCAGGATGGGGAGGCCCCGGTATGGCCAAACAAGGCCCTAGGCCAGCCCAGCCTCTCCAAGGCCTTCCCTAAAATTATCTCAGGACAGGAACCTGAGCCTCAGCCCCAAGTCCCATGATTCTTGAGGGCAAGCCCCTTCTACTCTCAGGTACTCACTAGTGCCTCTCTGTGACTTGTGGGACCAAGCTGTGTGTGCCTGGTCTATCCTGGACTAGAACTCAACAATGGAATGCCCTCCCCGCCCCCCTTGACAAGCTCCACCTCTATAAATGTGGCCTGAGAGGCTGCCTTCCCTCATTACTGCCAACCTACTCTGATAACCCTATTCCCCGGGACCTGACCTGGGACCAAACCAAGCCCTGTGCCCTGTATGCTTTTGTATGTATTTTTTCCTTGTCTCGTTTCAGTTTTCTATGCACACTTCATAGACATATGACCATGCGTTCAGGCTGTGAACTGCAAATCTCTGCTGGCTTAGTGTTAGCCACAAATGGGATAAGCAGGTCATTAACAGTAAGGGTGTCCACAACAAAGAGGGGGTGGGCATGCGCGCATCTTGGCTAATGCTGACTTCTCAGTGCTCCGCCTCAGGACTATCTCAGTTCTTACCAGACTCCCGGCCCACACACACCCCACCCCCATCCCAGCTCTCTTTACTGAGGGCTACTTCCTCCTGCCCGGGTCCTCGGGCAGTTTGATCCAGTTCCCAATGGCACAAGATAGAAGCTGTGGATTTTTTTCCCTTCAATTCCCAACTCCCAGACAGCCTTCCTCTTGCCAAAAGTGGAGGCTGAGGATTAAAGGGCTAGAAAGACAATGTGCTTGCCAACGATTAAACCGTAAGGAGAGCTGGCTCTCGTGAGGCCAGAGCCTGCTGCCTGCCTGTCTGTACTTCCTCCAACCTCACCTCAGGCTAGTGCTCCCGCAGAACAGTGCCCTCCACAGGCAGGCACTCTCCCAGGGCAGCATTGTTTTCCTGAGTCGGACTTCTGGAAGAAGCCTTCCTGTCCCCATCAGGGCAGGCCCCTTCTACTCTCAGGCACTCTCTAAGTGCCTCTGTGACTCTTGGGACCAAGCTGTGTGTGCCTGGTCTATCCTGGACCAGAACTGAACAATGGAACGGTTCCCTCCCTTGCCAAGCTCCACCTCTATAAATGTGGCCTGAGAGGCTGCCTTCCCT